CGGCAATTCCGCTGCTCTCCCTTCTATCTCTGCCTTGCCACCATGTCTCAGACCACCGCTTCTGTATCTTCGACTGTTGAACTGAATTAGGAGATTTTCCTATAGTGCTTTATTCCTTTTTTCCGCCAGTTAAGATTCGCTTCACATCTCTACTATTATTTTCGAGCACAGTAACCACACCAAGCTGAACTAAGCTTGTCAGATACATATACTCAATTAGGCGAAAAAAGTTCATGTCCTATTCGAGTGAGGGGAGCCTAGTATATCTCTTTGAGGCAATGACACTCTCCATATAGCTTCAAAATCATTTTTCTCATGTATGCTTATGAGTCGTTTCAAACTGAGGCTTCCAAACTCGAAGATACTGTTAAACTCGGCTCGTGTAGTTCTATAAGGTGGTGTTTTCAGGTTTTGAAGGAGCTCCATCTTCGATTGTGGTGCACTCGAGTAATCCCGAAAAGTTATTGTTGATATGTGTTTTGTGTACAATCCCGTTTATGTAAGCTTGGTCGTTCATAAATGGGTTTCAACACTTCCTTAGAATGCGTCACGCTTGACTTAATCCACTCACTTGTGAGACTGATAGAATTTTTTCGTATTCCAGGATTGCTGTTTTATTTTGATGCGCTAGATGACTTAAGTGTAGTCCATGCGCGCAACCTCCCCTCCTCTCGTATTCAAAAAGGAACCATAGATCAATTCGCGGGCCTATTCTCGCTATTTTCCATATTTTGAAGGGTATTTGGTTGAAAATTGGAAACTAGCGACAAAATCTTTCCACTGTCGCAGACTAAGGTGACTAGTACATAGGAATAGGATGAAATATCTGGTTACAGGTGAGCGCCTCTTCTGTTTCGTAACTCTAAGCATCACTTCGCGCATGCCCTACTAGATAGACCAGGTTTTCCACTTTTTCAGACGGAAGAAGGAACCTGAGGTATGCAGGGTGGAAGGAATTGCGGTAACAGCATACAGGAGCGGTCAAAAGTGTTCGCGAAAATGGTTTTCGTGCTTTTCTTAGAAAAAATCAATGGTGACCTCGAAAATTTTTTCTTTTGAATATCCTGATTCTTTAAGACTTGAGGATATAAAAACACTAGAAAACATAGTATATCAATCTTTGGAGGACGTTGCTCAAGCGAGAAAAATAATGCACTGAAAATCGTTTCGGCGAACACTTCTTGACCGCTACTGTAAATTGCTCGTGAAAAAGCAGTGTGGCCTACGTCTCAAATTAACAGCGCCATCATATTGGTGAAGGATTTTCAGACAGAAAACAATATTGTTCTCTGGAGCGGCCGCTTTCTGCATTGATGAGTTAACGAAGGCCCCCTAGAAAGTCATCGACCCTAATGTGCAGGTAGGTGTTGTCGAGTAGGTCAAGGCTTTCAAGAGCGACTGCTCAACTAGTCGATGTTCCTATTATGCTTGTAGCAATGCTTTGCCTTCGGCACACTCAATACAGAGCACTCCATAGGACTTGAGTTGGGAGAGCTAGCCACTTCTCTAATATGATGAATTCCACGATATTCTGTTGGCATCGATTTTTGGACAATCTGTGCATTGTGGGTGGGCGCCCAATCTTGCTCTGATGCCTTGTGTTTCCTATTGAGGTCCTTCGCTTTGAAGCATCAACCGAGGCGGAAGAAGTTTGAGGCGATTTTTGCTATCCAGTTTTATACTTGTTTCGAATCTTGATTCCTGCTCTCACTTTTTCTGCGAAACCATCCTGAATGGCTGGTTAGTTTTTCATTTGCAGCAGTGCGGTTGTCCTTTTTCACGACTGACCAGACAGCAGAGTATCTTCTCTCTAGGGGGAACGATCGACCAAAGAAGCCCATTACAGTATCGACAGTGATTTTCGCATCTTTGCCTTCTATTCAGTTAGGCATTTTCATGTTTGCAAACCGTTTTACTAAGATGTGTGCAATAAATACGTCGCAAGAATGTGCGACTGGCAGCAGTTTCAACGACCAAACTACGGATTTAGCGAGCTAGCTCCCACCGCTTCTTCGCACGTATCTTCGAGATATTACTCGTGAAGCAACGCTTTCAAATTCACACTTTTGGAGCGAATCCGTGGTCAACTTTATTTGTGGTCTCGGCTCCCGCGAAGCTCGAAGCGTTCACGCTCACAAAGTCTCTGTTCAGAGAGAATATGAGTTGCACTCACAATCCGCGTAGTACCCATCGCCGAACTTTGTCGGATTCTCTCTGGAAAAATTTTCGTACCGAGCGAGCGAAAATGATGACATGGGCCAGTTGTAACTTGAACGGGACACCGAAGTGGTGGCATGGGCCATCATTGCATCGCCTTGATAAGAAAACTTCGATCGAGTTCAGCGATGGGTACCAGGCGGATTGTGAGGTACGAGTCATATTCTCTCTGAACAGACTTTGTGAGCGTGAACGCTTCGAGCTTCGCGGGAGCCGAGACCACAAATAAAGTTGACCACGGATTCAAAGCGGGAAAATGAGAATTTAAGAGCTCCTTGAGCACTTCAATTTCCCCAGTTTTGCCTGGATACACTCCTCGATGAGTTCTACAATAAGCAGCAGGAGCGATCGCAAAGTGAGCACACAGCACTTTCTCTGATAAAGCGTTTTCATGCTGCTACCGTCCAGTATAAGGGCTAATATTCCGAACTAATTAGTTATAAATGCTTCACCATTTGTGTGCATTGCATAAGTGGAGGATTTCCTCATTTGTATTACATGCACACCGTAGCTGAATAGCGTTAGAGACATGAGAAATTCTGAAGAAACTTTAGGATGGCATAAGCAATTGACGCGGCCCATTTTCTTCAAAAGAACAGAGCAATTCAAATCCACGCGTTAACCAAAATCAAACAACACCATTCTTAGTTTTCCGACACGCCGAAAACGATGGTTGCTATGCCGATTTACGAAATTTCCAAATAAGTCAGAAAACTGAAAAAATCAGGGGGTGGCATAAGCAATTGACGCGCACTGTATATACAAATAACCGCAATCTGCGACAGTGGAAAGATTTCGTTGCTTCCTTCTCAGATTTCGACGAAGATCTCTTCGAGAATTGGTAAATTCCACAAAATAGGCCAAGCAATCCTTGAAAGCAGATCCAACATAAGATTGCTACATGGATACGAGAGGAGGGGATACTGAGCGCAAGGAGCACAAGTGTAGTGATTCAGCGCTGCAAAATGTAATGAAAATCCTTGGGATTCGGAAAAAAATTACTTAATTTCAAAAGGAATGGACAAAATCGAGTACGTGGCGAAATCTAAGGCAACTAAGGATCCATCTTCCTATAGGTTTACCAGGTTGCGTAAGAGGGTTGTACACGCATCGCATACAAATGATTCTCGTGATGAAACTCGAGTGGCATAGTGCAATCCATGATGAAGCTCTTCGAAACTTGTAAGCGCTATCTAATAAAGCTTAAAGAGCTGAGTCCAGGAATACCTCCAGATTCAGGAACTCTATTTGTAGCAGAGTTCTAGCAAACGTGAATTTTTCAAAGTTTTAGGCTAGGTGTCAGACTTTGTCAATCCAGGGAAATGTGACACTTGCTTTACGCTAAGTAGCGTATAATAGAGGGTGGCCAGAAATTACGGTAACAAGAGCGTACCGCATACAATTTCTAAAATTAACGGATGAAGTTTTGAGTGTAGCTTTTGCGCATTTGATTCTATTGATACGATGTTCATTCTTTAATTTTACCACTCAAAATTTATTTAGTTTGGATTGTTCAAGCCTTTAGCTCTTCATGAAATAACGACCCGCTTGCTTCTCAACATGTCTGGTGGTGTTACGTTGCAAAGCGAATCAGGATCTTCAGTAAACCTGCAACAACCACTATTGCGAAGAACACTAAGGTGCTAGGAACGATTGGATTGGAAGTGGAGGGAAGCTTCTGTTGTCAACAAAATTGAGAAATTGCACGAGAAGCAGCGTTGGACCATAGCACATTCATTAAGTCATTTGTCTCCCGGCAATCAGGTGCACTTTATTGCAAGTAGTCGTTAGGGCGCATCCCGTGGCTAAGGCACGTGAGCGTGGAAAAGCTCAGCTCTCCAATGGGGCAAGTAAACTGAAAAGGAAATGGAGCCAGGAGTGAGGCGTTGTCTCAGTTCAAACTGCCAATCTCTTTTCACTGATGAGGAAGTATTCACAGTCGAGCTAGTCTTGATCAGTATCACAAAAACTGCATTTCTAACAAGCTAGAGCTCATTATCTCAGATTTTATTAATTCCGGAAACAGTGAAGGTTTTGCGGTGATCAATCGTGGAACACGTCTCTTTTGGCTTTTACTTCACAAAACATAAAATAGAAAAGAGAAGATCATTGCATACATTTCCTCAAACAAGTCCTCGAACCAAGGAAAGACTTAACAGCTTCATTGAAAATTTTGTAAAACCGACACACAAAAAATTTGCGCGAACTTCTTGCCAGCTGAAGAATCCAGAGATGATTGGGTTTGTAGAGTGACAACCCAGAG